AATGGAATCCTCTCGATGATCTTTTCAGCTTGCCCGAGACAACACCTGGCCTAATAGGGTGATTCCTTCTTTTTTCCCCTTCTTTCAGTTGCCAGAGAGCATGTACACTAACCAGAGAGAAAGCGAGAGGGGAAAAGCACCGCTCCAGTGGGATGTGGTTATGCACAATCCTTTCTCCTCCATTTCTTTATCCTGCTGGGATTTGGAGCACACACACTTATGTACCTGGTATGTTTTCAAGCCACCAGGGCCAGCATTCAAACCACAGTCAGCCACGTGAGATCCAGCTTCCTTCGCCACTAGGCCACATAGTTGATCCAGTGATTTCTTAATAAAGGTTTGCTATAATGATCATGATTGTGATGTCCCTAGTGTCTAGGACCCAGTAGCTACTGAATCAAGACTTATCAAGTGAATCAACAAGTCTCTGATATTGTACAATTGGCCCTCTTTTATTTTTTTTCTACTCACCGTTCCCCTGACTCCAGACAAGTCTTGCGAATTGATCGCTCCCAAAAACGAGGCAGAGAGAAAGCATGGCCAGATCGATGAGAATGCTTCCCTGAAAAAACAACAGGAAAGCCATGGTGCCTGCGTGTTGGGGCTGCGATGGGTGGGGAGTAGCGAGCTTGATCCTGCAAAGGGAAGAGGAAAGTATTCAGACCTCCTAGAAAGCGGATGACTCCAGCAGGCTGCCTGTTCAAGGTCCGATTAATGGCTCCCAGGAGTTAAAAAGGGCAGCTCTGTCCCTCTTAAGGAATGCAGGGAGAGCTTAAGAGTCCCTTCATTGGTGAGGGCTGAGGAAATGGCCTCATCTCCTCCTCCATTTCCTGCAGGGTGCCAGGATTGAGCATACTTCTTCCTGGCAGCCACTGGGCATCTTGCTTTGGCTCCCTGGATGCTTCTAGAATCCATCTCTTGCCATATCCATTCCCCAACCAGCCAAACTGGCCTGCTCTCTGTTCCTTGAACACATCAGGTTGATACCCTTGCTGTCCCCTCTGCCTGGTGAGTCCCCTCCCTCCTCGCACCTTCACTTCATTCAGACCTTCTCACCTCACCTCTCAGAAAGGCCTTGCCCCTCCATCCCAGTGCAAATGGCAGCCCTAATATACCCCATCACTCACCAGCTCTTACCCTGCCTAATTTGTCTCACTTTCCTTTTTAGTATTTACTTTATGCCTTAAAGCTAATTCACTTATTTTTTCCATGAGAGAGAGATAAATAGGCATCCCCAACAAAGTCTTCATACCACTGTCTACCCCCACCCTCAGCCAGCCCAGATCCCTGGATCGTGCACATGCCCTGTGTGCACAGGGAGGCCCTGGGACTCTAACTCAGGACTTTACCATGTGGTTCAGCATTGCAGAGTGTTGTTTTACTATGGCCCCACACACTGGCCCTTATTTTATATATATATATATATATTTTTTTTTCCTCTCTCTCTTTAAGATGTTTTCGCCTTAGGGTGCATGCACTGCTGGAGAGAATGACAGAGACAGTGAAAGGGAAAATGAGAAATTGCCCCCAGGGAGATGGCCATGCTACAATCAATCTTCATTCTCCTCCTAGGATCTTGGGCACTCACACACACATGCTGGCATGATTTTCAAGCTACCAGGTCTGGGACTTGAACTGTCATCAGCCATGTGGGAGTCCAGAGACATAACTGCTATGCTGTCTGCTGGTCCTATTTTATGTTTCTAATGGAAATCTTTCGAACATAAAATAATAGAATAATCATGTACCCAGCTCCCAGATTTGATAAGTGGCTAAAATTTTGCCATATTCGCTTATTTCAGATACTCCACTTTAATCGGCTTTATTGAGGTTGAACTTACATGTAACCAATATATACGTGTTAAGTGTACAATTTGTTGATTTTTGGCAAATGCACCCGTGTAGCCATCACCACAATCAAAATATAGAACATTTCCAACACCCAAGAAAGGCCCTTCGTCTCTCACCCTTCCTAATATGTAACATTATCTGAAATCATCTCATTGGTGTATTTTTAAAATCCATTTAATGTCTCTCTCCCAGACTGGAGTGTATGTCCCATAAAGACAGGGACTGATCTCACTGATGTAGTCCCAGCCTTGATACATAGTAGGACCACAGTGAATTTCTCAGATTCGTGATACCATTTTCATTATCCTGAGCACACATCTTGACACATGTGTGGAAGGACGTCTGTGTTAAGTTCCTGCAGATAGAACTACTGGGTCAAAGGACATTTTACTTTCTCTGTTTTAAAAGAGACATCCATCTATCCCCCTCACTCTTCTCCAGCCCTTTGACAGTCTGTTCTGCCATTTCTCAGCCTCAGTACTTTTGCCTTTTGGGATGGATCGTTGTCATTAGAGGCCATCCTGTGCACTGCACAGGGTTTAGCAACACTCATCACCTCTACCCATGAGGTGTGCACAGTATCCCCGCCCCAAATGTGACCACCCCAATGTCTCCAGACATTGACAGATGTCCTCTGCCAGGCAAAAAGTCACTCCCAGCAGAGACCTACTGGTGTATATATGTAAACTAATTTTTTACAAACTCAATTGTTCTTTAGTTGTCCTCATCTTTTAATACGTTCAAAGACACCAGCTATATGTAGAGTTTTCTTACCCTGTTTATGTAGCTCAGCTGACTTGAATTTCAAATCCTGATCCCTGCAAACCTGTAAAGCTGCATCACAAGATGAGAAGCTTGTTGATTTTTCATGGAGGCACATAGCATTCTGGTTTTTTTTTTCTTTCTTTCTTTCTTTTTGGAGAGGTTTTCACTATAGGGCGTGTGCACTCGCCAGACAGACAGAGAGAGAGACATAGAGATAGAAAGCAAGAAGCACCCCCCAGGGGGGATGGTCACACCGCAATCCCTTCTCCTCCATTCTCCTCTCGGGATCTTGGGCACGCCCGCGCGCCCGGCATGAGTTTAAGCCACCGGGTCCGGTACATGAACCACGGTCAACTACGTGGGAGTCCAGCAACATAGCCATTACGCTAACTGCTTGTTCCCGATAGCATTCTGTTTTATAAACCTGGGAGGACCAGTCTACAAGAAGATGAATGGTTTCTTCCTGGCCCGGAATCCCAAAGGGTCATGCCCTAAGAATGCTGCATTTTCCAGGCCCTTGAGAACTAACAGAAAACTGCAAGCAACTGTGTAAAGGAACTCCTTTTATTACTCATAACACAGAATTCACCATTCTTATCTCAAAAATCTGCAAATTCATATATCCAAGGCAGGGACACAGGAAAATAAAGGGGTGAAAGTGGACAGATGGGGAGTAGTAAAAAGGGGGCAGGTCCCATCTAAAGGGACATTGCATTGTGGCCAGATGTTTATATTAAAGAATTATTCAGTGACATTGTTAAAGCATGGATGGTAAGGCAGACTTCATTCAGGACCATCATGGTAAGTACAGAGATCATGGCAATGGGATTTTGCAGTAAAGGAAAGAAATTGGGCTCAACTCCAAATATCACATGGACAAATGGGAATTTATGACTGAGGAGGAGGGTGAAGATCAGGATAGAAAATTACTGAGGGGAAACATTAGAGGTGAGAGGGATTCTGGCTAAACCAACTTTACAGGATTCTTGCTGAAGTTAGGCCAAAATGATCTGACATCATCTAAGGGATTATGGAGGATGTGGAACTCCCCCAGATACCAAGGGTGGTAGATACTTGCTAAACTGGATTTTATGAGGAACTACACAGATGAGCCTAGGAGATGTTCAGGATTCTGCCTAAAGTTTGGTCAAAGAATCTTCATCCGTTGCTAGGCAGGAATGTGGCCCCCTGTGTTGCTAGACCTTCCTTTCAAGCAAGATGAGAAATCTAGATTTTTTTAAAAATATAAAAGTAAATAATTCTTAACTTATGTAATAATTACCAAGGTGTTTAAATGCACCTGCAGGCACAAGTTTGAAACTTCTGAGTTAACATGTGTGTTTCTGTTTGTTTGAGGATTAACTTACTCAGTACAGAAATCTTTTCGTTTGACTATTCAGCTTGTCAACAAATGTTTAAATATCCACTCTGTGCCAGCCATTGTTCTGGAGCTGCTAACTGGCATTTATATACTGAAATGAAATGACAAAAGAGATAGAGATGATTGACAGATAGATGATAGTTATAGATAGGCAGGGAGATAGGGAAGGAGATAGTAGTAGATAGATCTTAACTCTTAGAGATACACTCTGAAATATTACACAAAATAGTGTGATATATGGGAGTTACTTCAGAATAACACAGGAAGTTGAATGCAGGTATAGGTGATTTGAGGTTGACTGTGAGGTGATCCTTTTGGAGCTGAGTGATGGTGGTATGTGGCAGTTCCTTATACTCTGAATATATTGGAAATTTCACATACTAATATCCTTATCAGTTAAAGATGCAATCTGAGGGATGTTCTGGTAAAATGACATCATGTCTGGGACTTAATTTAAAATATTCAGCTAAATTTTTTACAAGTAGAGGTAGTTACTCTGCAGAGTATTCTGCCTCCCAGGTATCCAGTTGGGAAACAGAATAGCAGTGGCTAAAGTATATAGAATCAGCCTCTCTGGGTCCAAATGCCACCTCTGCCTTCCCTGCTGCGTGACTGTGGACACATTATTTAAAACCCCTACGAGCCTCAATTTCTCATCTGTTAAATGTATTCGGGTTAATACTAATACATCCCAGACTCATGGTGAAGATTAGATTAGTTATTACATGGTAAGTGCTTAGCACGGCATGTGGCATGTAGCACGCATGTTTTTATTATTGATTTTTTATTGGTATTGTTGCTCCTTTTAAGCATTCTAAGGGCAAAAAGACTTTCTGAGATAGATAGAAGAAAATTGTTGGAAGCAGAGGCTAAAAGATGTCAAAGAAAGAAGCACTCCTTGTTAACTGGAGTTTTTGAACTCCTGGAACCAATTTTTCTGCATGATGGGCATTGAAGGAATAGAAGAAAAAAGCAACTCCCTGACTGTGTCCTTTCTCCATAGAATGAAGTAGAGCTGGGGGAGCTGCTTCTGTCGCTGAATTATCTCCCAAGTGCTGGGAGGTTGAATGTTGACGTCATTCGAGCCAAGCAACTACTTCAGACAGATGTGAGCCAAGGTTCAGGTACAGTACAAGCCCCTCCTTCTCCTACTTCTTTAATGCAGCATCTGTGTTTGTTTGGGGGACCAAATTTTCTTTTTCTGCGTCTCGGATACTATTGATAAGACCCTACGAGGGAGGAAGCATTCAGAACTAGGATGCTAATAACTCAAGAGGGAAAATAAATGATCAAATGTCTCTTAGAATGAGGCAGGTAAACGATAGTGTCCCGGTAACTCTTTTTGAACTGCGGAGTTGACTGAGACTGGGTATAACTACTGAAAATCTAATAGATCTTTTTTTTTTTGAGAGGGTTTTTTTTTTTTTTTTTCACTATAGGGCGCATGCGCTCGCCAGACAGACAGAGAGAGACATAGAGACAGAAAGCGAGAAATCACTCCCCAGGGGGGATGGTCATGCCACAATCCCTTCTCCTCCATTCTCCTCCCGGGATCTTGGGCACGCATGTACACGCGCCCGGCGTGAGTTTTAAGCCACCAGGTCCGGGACATGAACCGCGGTCGACTATGTGGGAGTCCAGCGACATAACCATTACGCTAACTGCTGGTTCCCTAATAAATCTTTGAATAAAGGAAATTGCTTGCCTTTCCCAATGCTATGCCTGCAAAGGAAACACCTTGCTCCATGGGGCGATAGTGTGCAATGACGATGCATTCTAATAAATGAGCAGGTGGACACACCCTGAGGGATTTTTTTCCCCCAGTTCATTTCGCAAGTATCATAAATCTTTATAAATCCCAGCTCTGAAAGTACTATTGTATTTAAGTGTCTACTTTAAAGCAAAACTAATTCAAACATGACTTTTAATGAAATGGAACAGATTTCATTCCATCTGTATGTAGCTTCTCCCATGACAGCAAAAGATATTATGTGAAAGCAGCCATGGTCACTAGGGCTTCTTCAGCTCAGTGGTGGAAATGCCATCTTTTCTGAGTGCACTTCCAAAATAAATTACTTCTGCTATAAGGTGGCAGCTGAATATAGAAGATACCTTGCAAAGGTTTCAAAAGGGCCAGTGGAGAGAACTGTATTAAGACTGGAAAAATTTGTACTGACCACACTGGGAGAATCAGTATGATAAAATGATTGTGAGTTCTGGAGTCAAACTGTCTGGAATCAAACAGTTTTATAGCTTACAAATGGTGTGACCTTGGGGGAAGTTACTTAACCTCTACGCAACTCAATTTCTTTTGTTCTTTTTTTTGGAGAGGTTTTTGCTATAGGGCGCGTGTGCTTACCAGAAAGACAGAGACAGAGAGATAGAAAACGAGAAATCACCCCCTCAGGGGAGATGGCCATGCCACAATCCTTTCTCCTCCATTCTCTTCTCGGGATCTTGGACACGCACACACATGCGCCCGGCGTGAGTTTAAGCACTGGGTCTGGGACGCGAACTGCGGTTGGCTACATGGGAGTCCAGCGACATAGCCATTATGCTAACTGCTGGTCCCAATGCACCTCAATTTCTTCATCTCAGAAATTGAGATGAACAGTATTTGTAAACAAATTACATTGGATAATGTGCACAAATCCATTTGTAAACTTTAAAATAAACCAACAATGATAGTTATAGTTCTGCCACCTCTATTCTCTTATGTATGGGCTGTGGGCTTGCTAACATAATAGATTTCTATGAACAGAAAGCCAGGAGAGGTTCTGAGTTTGATTCTGCCTCTGCCAGCCAGATCATAAGCAAATAATTTCTCATCTTGAGTCCTCAGTTTTCTTAGCTGCGAAATGAACCCATGAGAGGAGCTCAGTAAATATTGGATGGCTGGAGGAAGAGAGAAAAAGAAAAGCAAATAAGCAGGTGGAGGGAAAAAATGATAGATGTATAATGGATGAATGGGAGAATGGAGGAATGAAAGGAGGGTTGGTTGCCTGGACTTATGGATGGATCAATGGGTTGATAGATGGATTGATGGAAAAATAGAGATATGAGAGGATGGATGGATGGTTAGGCTGTCAGACAGATGGAAACATGGGTGGGCGGGTGGATGAAATGGATGGATGGATGGGTGGATAGATGGATAGATAAAACAATAGTGAAATGATGAGTGGATCAGTGAACTGACATGGATGGAAAGATTGGTGAAAAGATAAATGGATACATGGACAGTTGGATAGACTGAAAGGTGGATAAAAAGCTGAATAAATGATTGGATAGAAGAAATCATGACTGAAACGATGGATAAATGGGAAATTGAATAGATAACGGCAGGGCAAATTAGGTTCATTATCTTCAACAATCTGTGATATTGAGTCTGATTTTCAGACCCCTTCGTGAAAATCCAACTGGTGCATGGACTCAAGCTTGTGAAAACCAAGAAGACGTCCTTTTTAAGAGGCACAATCGATCCTTTCTACAATGAATCCTTTAGCTTCAAAGTTCCCCAAGAAGAACTGGAAAATGCCAGCCTCGTGTTTACAGGTAGGTAGCATTCCAGACCCTGATGAACCCCAGGTGTGGCATGTTCAACTTACCGTTTAGAGACGGAAGATATCTGGAGAGTTTTGTTTCAGGACTTCATGTCTGGTGTTCAACTACTGGTTTTGAATCCACTATCTGTGAACTTGGGTAAATTCATAGAGCCATGTAACATAATCGTTAATTGTGGGCTCTGGAGCCAGGTTTCCTGGCACTGCCACACAGCTGAGGCTTTTGGAAAGTTACTTAACTCCTCTAAGCCTCAGTTTCCTCATCTGTAAGATGTGACTAGAAGTAGTCTATGTCATAGTCTGTTGTGAAGAATAAATGACTTATGAATTTGAAACAGTACCTGGTCCATAATAAGACTAAATGTCAGTTTGGGTGATGATGGTGATGGCTTAAGTTACTTGCAGTCTAATAGAGAAGCATAGGCAGAAACAGGGTTGTCTAACTGAGAGGGGGAGGTTGTGAACTGCTTCCAAAGGATATAGTATTTAAGCAGTGGTCACATGCCACTGCCTGGTACTTTTCCAGGTTGTAATTTAATCTATTGTCTCCAGAGTATCTTAGTTATCTATTTTTATATAACACATCACCCCAAATTTAATAGCTTAAAACAATAAACATTACGGGGCTGGCAGGTGGTATGGTAGTTAAAGGCACTGGATTCCTACATGGCCGACCATGGTTCGAGTTCTGGACCTGGCAGCTTTCTCACGTTCCCTTTCTCTCTCTCTGTCTCTGTCTGGCCAAAATAAAAAATAATAATAATAATAATAAATATAATTAAATAAATAAATTATCACATGCCACTGCCTGGTACTTTTCCAGGTTGTAATTTAATCTATTGTCTCCAGAGTATCTTAGTTATCTATTTTTATATAACACATCACCCCAAATTTAATAGCTTAAAACAATAAACATTACGGGGCTGGCAGGTGGTATGGTAGTTAAAGGCACTGGATTCCTACATGGCCGACCATGGTTCGAGTTCTGGACCTGGCAGCTTTCTCACGTTCCCTTTCTCTCTCTCTGTCTCTGTCTGGCCAAAATAAAAAATAATAATAATAATAATAATAATAATAAATGTAAATAAATAAATAAATCTTTAAAGAAAGAAAAACAACAACAACAAACATTTGTTATCTCATAACTCCTGGGTCAAGAATTCTGGAATAACTTTGCTCTGACTGAATATTCTGACAAAGCTGCAATCAGAATTTTGGCTGGGGCAGCAGTCTCATCTGAAGGCTCAATGGGGATCTGTTTTTAAGCTCATTCACATAGTTATTGGCAGGATTTAGTTCCCTACGGGCTGCTAGACTGGGGGTCTTGGTTCTTTCCTAGTTGTTGGGCAGTAATCTTCCTCAACTTCTTGCCACATGAACTTCTCCTTAGGGCAAGATGGCACATGGCTTTCATCAGAGTGTCAAGTGAGGAGTCTGAAAATCTCTTTGTAAGCTATCATAGAAATGACATCCTACCACTCTTAATATACGCTGTTCATTAGAAACAACTCACTAGGTCCTGCCCATTTTTGAGAGGAGGGGATTAGACAAAAGCAGGAATACTGAGAGGCAGAGATCACTGGGAGCCTTCTTGGAAGCTGCCCATCACAATGAGGTTAGAGTTAGCAGGAGTAATGGTTATTGTTCCCTATCACCTAATCGTGATAGGCATTTCCCCATATCATTGTTACTATTCCCTATAACCCACCCTGTCATGTCACTATCAGCATCTTCAATTTATAGATCTAAGGACTGAAGCTTAAGCTTTCTCTCAAGCTAGGAGAAGCAAGATTCAAGCTCTGGTCTTGCTAGCTCCAATGACCAAGAAGTCTGTATTTCCTTAAGTACTCAGGTAGTGTTGGCATTAGAAATGTGACCTCATTCTTTGAGAAGTCCTGCTGCAAGGCACTTAGAAACTCTCCTCCGTTTAGAGGATATTTAGCCCCCGAGTCTCTCAAGAGATCAAGTCATGGCTGAAAAACTCTTGCACAGAAGGCTTCCTCTGTATGAGCTTATTGCTTCTCATCACCAGCATGGCAAATGTCCATCCTCTGGGACCTCTCCATGGCAAGTTCTGGGCTTTCTCAGGGCCCATTGCTCAAAGAGTCTGCATCCAATCAGGGGTTGCCTACCCAACTAATACTGCCATGATGGCTGCTGTCCAGACCAATTACAAACAGATGAGCTCCCTATGTATTCCAGGGTTCCAGGCCAAGACAAAAGATTGATTCCATTAAATCCTTAAATGAGGGTCAGGCAGGCAGTGAGAACAATGTTGAACCAAGCCATGGATCAAAGCATGAGGTATCTATTCCTAATTTCTTACTGAGAATAAAGGGCTATCTGTATGTGCTTAGCTGAGAAAGGAACCTGAGGGCACTGACAGCCCAAATGCAAAGCCCTGGCCCTCTTACATATATTATTTCCCATCTTATGACAGAAGCTGTGCCTGCTTCTTATAATGGGTTATAATGGAAGTTGTACAAAGAGAATCAGATGAGGAAAGGGGTTAAGTGTCCATGCCTGGGTCCTGGCTTGGCTTCTCACCCATCTTGGCAGTCTTGGGCAAGATCTGAGTGGTTTTTTTCACCTATAAAGTGAGGATAACGATACAAGGACATCTCAAAGGATGGGAATGTGGATTTGCTGAGTTCCACACAAGTACAAGAAGACTTCAAAAATATGGGGAAGATGGAATTAAAGTAAAAGTTTCCATGGAAAAAAAATTGAAATCTATACATAGTCTTTGCATAATATGCATTTCCTGCAAACTGTGTGAAGACCCCTGTGCGGGGCTGGGCTCTGGGCTCAGCACACAGTGAGTGTTCTCTGTTGTGAGAAGGAAACCAGTTCTTCACCTGTTCCAGCTCCTCCTTCCTCAAGTCACTGCTTGAATATCTCAGTGTGTAGCATTGCACGCTTTCCTTGTTCCCACAAACGTTACCCACATATAGAGGATTCAGTTATTTTTAAAAGTTGCCGCATGAATTGAGTAGATGTGTATTCAGCCATGCCAGACACTGTTTCCTGGTGCTGGGAACAGAGCAGGAACAAAACCGCATCGCAGCCCTCGTGGAGGTACGGGGACCATTCTGTGGACGCTGTTCAGAAGTTTGCTTTGTTTAACAGTGAGTATGTCACTCTGGGTCAGCACAAGCCCAAGTGGATTTGATTTCTTTTTTTAATGTTTATTCATTTTTTTTCCTCTCATGAGAGAAAGAGAGAGAGACAGAGACAGAGACAAGCACGCCCAACAGGGTCTTCATGTCCCAGCCTCAGCCAGCCAAGATCATGGGCAAATACACCTGTCAGTGTGCTCAGGGAGGTCCCAGGATGTGAACTGAGGACCTTCCCGTGTGGGCCCAGTTGTGTTATTGCTGCACCAACATCTGGCCTCTTAATTCTTTATCTTCAGTATCTGTGCTATCTACTGCTGCCTGATGTACTTTGATAAAAACAGGTTATTCGTTCTGGGGAGGGCAGATGCATAGCAAAACTTCAGAGAGTGCGAGGACTCTGCAGCCTCTCCCAGAAAACTACATGGAGTACAGAAAGTCTCACGCACCCTCGCAGAGGCTGTTTTGAACTCCTTCAATCCCATATGTTCACTCTGTAAGACAGAAGCCGCAATCCAGCTCTTATTCACCCACCTGCCATCCAGCTCTTACTCACTCACCTGTTTTAGTCTATCCCATTGCTAATAACAGAAAACACCTGAGTCTGGATCATTTTAGAATTTCGAAGCTTATTTACTTCGTTTGGCGACCCAATGACCAGGGACACATCTGTGGGGGTCTTGCAGAGTTCTCTGTGGGGGTCTTGCAGAGTTCTGAGGAGTCACATCATTAAGAGCAACTACGTCCATCTGTCTGTGTGTCTCTGTCTCTGTCTCTATCTCTGTCTCTGTCCTGGTCTTCCCTCTCCTCATAAACCCACCAGGAGTCCATCACAGGGGCCCCACCCTAACCACTTAATCACTCCGTAGGCCCCATCTTCCATGCATAAAGTTTTCCTCTTAATAGTCTCACAACTGAATCTCAACACATGAATGTGAGGGGGACACTCAGGCCATCCCTGCCACACTCCAGGTGGCAGTTGTCAGCTGCTCCCATCACTCATGGAAGATGTGCTTCTCTCATGTAAGTGTCGAGATTTGGGTCCCTGACTTGTGATTCATGCTCCTCAGGTTCACAGCCCACAGACACTCTCTCTAGGGCCAGCAGATGGCGTAGTGGTTAAGGCACTGGACACCCACACTGCTGACCGTAGTTCAAGTCTCAGACCTGGAGGTTTGAAAATCAGGCTGAGCATGTGTGTATGTGCCCAGAATCCCAGGAGGAGAAGGGACTGTGGTGTGGCCCTCCCCTACTGGAGAATGATTTCTTATTTTTCCTCTCACTGTCTCTCTGTCTCCTCTCTCGTGAGCACATACATCCGTTGGCTATAAACCTTAAAAAAGAAAAAAAGAAAAGATTCTTTCTAGAGAAGGAAGCAGTGCATCACACACACACACACACACACACACACACACACCCCAGCCCCCACAAATCAAGAATCCTCAACTTTGGCTACACTTGACCATCAGATGGGAGCTTTGAAATGCTGCCAACAGCCACACTCCCTCCCCCAAAGACTAATGCAGCTGGACTAAGCTGGGGTCTAGGGGGAAGACACGGGGTGTGTGTATGTGTGTATGTGTGTATGTGTGTGTGTGTGTATGTGTGTGTGTGTGTGTATTTTTTAAATTTTCCCCAAAGCACCAGATATTTCTAATGCTCCATCAGAGTTCAGAACCTCAGCTGTGAGTAGAAATCTCAGCTGGGTGGCATTTTACATAAAGGGCCTAATAAAAGAAATGTAGGTTCAGTCATGGGGGCACAGCAGGGCGTGCTCGGTGATGCTGCAGCCATAGGGGAGGCCAGGGTTTGGATCCCCAGCCCACCTATACACTTACTCGAGCACCGTGACCCTGGCTGACTAGGAAGGTTGGAG